CGCTGGCCGCGGAACCTGTGGGTCGCGGGTCCGATCCCTGGCGAGGCCGTGGATGCTCGCTGCTGAAGAGTACCATACCAGGACGAAACAGCTGTCCAGTGCCCCCGGGTTTTCCTTGTTCCTCCAACTCATGTCAGTCCACGATGAATAACAACTTGAAACTGTGGTTCTACTTGACAATATAATAAAGAATTAGGAATAACGGGACTACTGAAGTGCTCAGTGACTTCGGGGACGTGATAACTATTTTCCATTGCAAGGCCGATCGGTAAGACTATGTCTAACAGAATTTTTTTCGTACAATACACATAATAAATAAGGTATGGTTGGATTTTTGTATGTGGTCGTGTGTACCCTAAGTTTGATATATTTGCTTCTTGTCTTCCCACACGACAGGCATGGAGATGGGTGCGGATACAGAGGACGCTTGTCGTCAGATAAAGTACTTTAGCCGGGGCTTTCTACAGGAGTTTGGGTGTCTATCCACAGCACTATTTATCAGCTTGGTCAGAGGTGTGCTACCTGCTCTACTAACAGCCCTCAAAAAACCTAAGCGAGTCAACGTGGTGCTTTGTACGGAGTCCAAGAAAGGATAAGGGGGAACAATAAGTGGGTACGGACAAAACACATAAATTGATGAAAAGTGGGAGTAGGGACTGAGTTATACCAGCCAGTCTGTTTCAAAATAAAAAGGGTCAACTGAAGGATTTTCCTAGAAGTCAGTAAAATATTGAGGGATCAAGAAAGATCAGAAGAAAAGGATAAGCCAAGATGGACCACGCTTGCTACGTTCTCTATAATAGAAGCATCTGCAAGACAAGAGTCGTGGGTCTGAAGCAATATGCAAAGGTCTTTTTTATGTTTTAAGCTAAAATTAACCATCTGACATTTGGAGGGATTGATTGTGAGGTCCTTTAAGGAAGATCAGTTGCCAACTTCCTTTAAGAAGCTGCTAAGCTGAGAACAATCAGAAGAGGAGATGATTGGCATGGATACTGTAAGGTCATCAGCACATTTAACAAAGTCAGCTTTGGTTGAGGTTGGTAAGCCACGCAAAAAAGCGAAAAGGAAAGGAGAAAGAACGACACCTTGGGGCACACTGGCTTAACCAATCAGCAAAACTAGAATTTTTCCCCGTGTATACAGTGTACCGTCTTCTCTCGGAAAAACATAAATCAAGCCAGGACTCAGTATGAGTACTGGCAAGCTTTTTTAATGAGAAGACAGGTTTAACATACTTTCCACCTTTGTCCAGACCAGCAGCAATATTATGATGTAATTGCGATAGATCGGAATTTCACTTTCGCTCCAGCAGATGTGGATTAAGGTGTCGGAACTGCTTTAATCTCTTTCCAGGTCGATGGTACTCCATCTCTAGCAAAAGACTCATTAAAAACGTCTGTGAATGGCTGACACAATACCTGGCGTGCCATCTGGTCCGGGGCACTGATAAGGTCTTAATGACTTCAGGCGTTTAAACACTTCTGCTTCTTTGAATTACGGAAAATTACACTGTTGTACGTGCAGAACTAGATAAGATGATATTCTTTAGTTTGAGTATGAATGACTCGTGCAATGCACACACCTTGCCGCACGTTACATTTCGAAGTTTCCTCTTCCCAGTAAGATCACACACAGTGACTTTACGTGGCGTAATCTTCCGAATATGCATTAAGGTTGAGCGTTTTATTTCAGACTTAATCAGTCACTCAAGTCGTTTAACACCGGCATTTTCCTTCGATTCATACAGTTTTTCCTTTTCTCTTTACAGTCTTTTTAAATGCGGAGAACGTCCGTTAAGCCTTAGAAAGATCACTTCGGCTGGCAGTAAATATTGAAGCAAAATTTGAGGTAGCGTGTAACAGGATCTACTGAACCGCCCAGAGCATCATTTACAAATATTTCCCAGTCTGCTTTCTGTAACATGCATCTGAGTTTACAGATATTATCATTTGTAAAACTCCTACGTATAGTCTTCTTAGACTGATATTTAGAAGTATTTTTCTGCACTTTGCCATATATCTTTGGTAGAACACATATAATACAGTGATCTAAGCTCAACAGTGGTGCACGCTTCCGAGGTTCATGTGTTTTAAGTTCATTCACAAAGACTAAATCTAAAGTGGCATTAAAACGAATTAAAAAATTGGCTAGGTTACTGTGACCAAGAGAATGCAGGAAACCCGAATTACAAGAGTTAAAATCACCACAGACAATAAAAAATGGGCCAGACATTATCGCAGAAGCAAATTCCGTGTATTTGTCAGCGCATTTGGATAATCCAGAATGGCTGCAACCAGAGGTGACGTAAACATTTGTGAATGAATTCATATTTATCTGAGTGTCTTGGACGATACTTAATGGTCACACACTCTATGTGGTTATTAGAATAGACGAAGGATACGTAATTTGATGATGAGAGTAGTCTGACAAGCAGGAGTGGGGCGATCACTATAAGAAGCTAGGGCTAAAATTCATTGCGGTTAGCTTTAACTGGCTCTAGAGCACATCGAAATAAACCGCCAACTCTTAGAGCATCACAGATGACCTTGAGACAGTCGGAGGGCATACTGCCACCGTCACACCTTCCAGATATCGCAGGCCCGATGACGTTCCGGAAGGGCAGGTAATTCAAGGGAGGTGGAGTGGCTGCATACATTCACAAGCACCTAAAAGTCAAGAAGGCGACCGATAAGGTGTTTAGCCAACTAACGGACTCCTTGCGGTGCCGCTTCATCATAAACCAAACAGAAAGCCTGCTGAGAGTAGTATAAAGGCCTCCTCTATCTACAACAGGGCACCAGGCACAATTAATCACCGCTCTTTGGATGTCCGTCTCGGCAGCTTACGACTGCGTAGTCCTCGCCGGGACTTCAATATACTGGCACTTAACCTGGGGTGTTAAGTAAGCTGTAGACCTAAATGTTTTGAACAGCGACTTAGAAATATACCCGCCGCAGCAGGAACAAGAAAGTTGGGGAAAACATTAGTAAGGTACCAGGTAGAAAAGGATCATGACCTGGCTATGTTCTATCAGGTGACGACCTTTTGGTGGACGATATCCATGACTAGCCGTCCCCTCACACAAGGGCAACTACACATAGGTGAGATTCCCCTTCATAGCCAAGGAGAAAAAAACCAATAGTTGGATCAGAAGCGTTCCGCTGTCACCGGAAGGTAGACTACTAGGTCATGAACAATGAACTCTTTCGGGCTTCGAGACTAAAAGAACGGTGCTCTCTATAGACAGACGAAGGCTGGGTACATAATGAAGGTAATGTTTAGGGCGCCATCGAGAAAAGCATTCAGAAATTAACCGGACGATCACCTCTCAAACAGTCTCTGGTTGCCCGCGCAACCCAAAGGCAAACACGAAGGAGAGAGAAGGCATGGCATCAGTGGCGCACATTACACAAGAAATCAGAACTTATTGGCTACAAAAAGTTACCCAACTTATGCGACATAGGCGTTTCTAACGACAGGAACAAATACCAAGATAACCCAGCCAAACAGCTAAGCTATGACCCGAAGTGCCCGTATCGGCTTCGGTCACAACGGAAACCGTCGAATAGAGGTTTAAACCTGATCACAGGGCCGAATGAGGAACTCTTGAAAAGCAGTAAGATAGCGGAGCGGTTGAGAAGCTGATTCAACAAGCAGCTCAACTCAGTTTTGTATCCAGCACCAACATCCAGAAATGTTACGAAGTTCCAGGACTGTGACACAAAGCCGGTGAACGTGGAGATTTCGTCCAACCAATGTGTTTCTGAAACTTTCAACTTTCATAACAAGGAGGTTTCCAGGCTGTGACGATACGAAGCCGATAGTACTACGAAACGGTGCCAAAGTTCATACTCATGTACAGTCTGCCCATGTACGCGTCTGAAGTAAGCCAGCTCTCTAAAGAATGGAAACGTGTTATCCTTTTACAAATATTCAAGGGAGAAGGCCGGAAAAACCCCTGCAAATACAGATCAAATGTACTATCACCCATTCTGCCCAAGGTACTAGAAAGCCTGGTTCCAGATATTGTTTAGGACTATATAAACGAAAACATCATCGTTCATCCCACCCAACATGATCTCAGAACCGAAGGGTCGTATGCCACAAACCTGATGACTGCTTGGATTGACTGGATCTTCAGACGTGACGGACAGTAACCATTCCACGGGGTTAAAGCTCTCAGTAGCGCCCCGCGTCACGTCATTCTGGCTAAACTCGCAAAAGTGGGTGTCACAGAGGCACATTTAGCGTGGTTTACAGGAAATCCAGAAGACGGAGAATTCTGCGCACCAGGACAAATCCTAAAAGTAAAGAGTTCGACCAGACTAGGAGAGTGCAAGAAAGGGAGTTTTCCGAGGAGTGATCCTTAGGCCACTCCTAGTTTTACTGTTCAGTAATGACCCTTCCAATAAAATCTCTTTGTCCATCCTCGTATTTCCTGATGACATAAAAATATGGTGAACAGTAGATAGGGAATAAGATCCTAGGACGATCTGGTTGAAGTCCTCGTCAGCTGTGAACGATTTAAGCTTCAACCTGGAGAGATACTAGACGATGTAGCTTTGCGTAACGAAAGCGATAAAAATCAGCTGCACCCTCACCAAGTGCTAGATCTCGAAGGTATCCACAAAGAAGGACCTAGGACTAAAGTTCTCTAACAGACTGTATGTAAGTGCAAGCCATACGTGACTTTTTAAGTAACGCTTGATACTTAATTGCAGGCGTTTACAAAGACAGGTTAATTGATCTTATCAGCAGCTCCGTTGGTCGTGCAACCGAACCAAGCTACAATATACAAGGAAAAATACCTTCGAATAGACTATTACTACCACCAAAGTGATACGCAAAAAAAACATCAAAAATTCTGCTAACAACAGAGTATAACCTAACCAAAAGAACCAAACCTCAAAATCCAGAAGCAATAGTGTAAACACCACAAGTTTCCTCAACTCGCACCATCGATCTTAAGCGTTGGATGTTGACAATCTCAAACAACAGATTTCGGATGTTGGAACTAAGGCGGTAATACAAAATGTGCGTTGCTATTCGGCATGGTTTGTTTCACTATTACTTTCTTCACAGACTGTTTTTTGAAGTTATATTCATTGGTTTTACTTGTTAGACCTGTTCTTTCGGTTATGTATACAGATATTCAGGCCTGGAAAGCCAATAATTCAAGTTGATCCATTTCCACTTAATTAACTCCAGCTTTGTCAATGTGTATACATCTATTGACAGCTCAGTAACCCATGTTCCCAAGTTCAAACAAAGAAATTTACCCTGGTTTTTCGTTACGCCGGCGATCTCAACTAAGAATCAGTCTTCCGTAGTAACCTTTACCGTAGTCAAACCATATAGCGGAAATAATGCAGGCAAATGCGTAAATAATGGGTTTAATGACGTTAGTGTTGCCAGTGGGGCCTAAGTTATAGGACTTGTGCCCAAAATTTTCCCTGAATCGCTGAAATAATACGGGTAGTGCTAAAATAAGGCGGTAGGGCTGAAATAAAGCGGGAATCTTGCATAAATAGAGCTGCGTTTACGCATGCACGCTTAAATTATTCTGCAAGTACGTAAATGATGCTTGTAGTTCGTAAAATTCCGCTCAAGTGTCGCTTTTCAGCATTCCTGATCAGTGCATTGACCTGCATTACTTCCGCATTCCCACGCATTATTTCAGTATTCGTGTTTGTCTAGGGTGTTTTATGGTTTGGCGATTTCGGGAAATTTCGTGCGTCTCCCCATCTGCGCCTAAGGTGAACACGTCGGTTTTGCTCAGACATTATCAAAGCGCTTGAAGTAAATTCTGGCTGGGTTGTAGTTTAAATGGTCTTTTTTACTCTTTGCAGTAGGCTTATCTGTGCAGACCTAGTTTCTTGAAAGCCTTCTGCGAAGGAGTTGATGCCACTTCTTCGGGTAGGGAGTTCCAGTCGTTGATAACGCTTTGTAAATCACTCTAAAAGCTTTGCGGTTTATCTGCACCTGAAGTATTTCAGTTGGAGTTCATGTTTTACGTATTTCTGAGGCGACTTACAACTACTAACGTATCTTACTGAGTTGTGTTGGAATATTTCTCTCTAGCACTTACCTCCATTAGCTACTAGCGATTACTTGATAATGCTTTTCAAGTTTTGCACTTACAAATCAGATTATGATTCCATTCTTCCTAGACTCTCAAATATACGGACTATTAGGGAGCGTGCAATCATACTTGAGTAGATAATAATATATTTGCAGGGGAAACTTGGGAAATATTTAGATAAATTTGACGAAGCAACGTCACTGTGTATTTCGTGGTCAACTCCGTGCCAACACTCATAGCCTCATGGGTTGATTAAAGTGTATTGAGACTTAAAGAGTAGGAAATGACTGTGGAACTTATTTTTAGAAAAAGGTATTTAGGTTTACAGGATTTTGTACTGCAATATGTGTAACTCAAGTGTTATATGATCCGGAATAAACTACGAAAGGCAACTTGCGTCCGACTGTCAGGTCTGTTCAAAAAGGTTGTCCTCACGCATCAAAAGGAGAAGGAAAAGTGAGGATGGAGTCTCATCTCTTCCGTCAGCTGAGAATTCAGAAAAGTTATCTCAGTCCAACCAATCCAGAGCTTAGTGTCTCTCCGACTACTTCAGAACAGTATTCTCATTAGACGACGACGTTGTTACTCTGACCAATATTCCCGAAAATGTCCCAACAATGAGCCCAGTGCACTTCACAATAGAGGTAGTTCTTCGAAAATCTTAAGTTCAGAAAACCCCTTGGTGCTGATGACTTACGCCCAAGACTGTTATCCTTCTTCGCTGACATTATCAACATGCCGTTTGCTGAACTACTCAATGTGTCTATGTCAGACTCACCTTCGAGAGACTGAAAAAGTGCTATAATCAACCCAGTTTTTAAGGCAGGCAGTAGGCAACTATTATAGGATTATCTTCCTGTTACCTTAACTAGTATAGTTATTAAAGTACTCGAGAGGATTATCAGAGATAGAATGATGGACCGCGTCGAAAACTATAGTTTTCTCACATCTCTACAACATGGGTATCGCTGTGATCAGTCTCGCTCAACTAACCTTGTAGCAAGAGAAGAATGAGTAGCAGCTCATGGTAACAAGATGTTTGTAGATATTGTGTTTATTGACTCCAATAAAGCTTTCGATAAAGTTTCGCATCTTCGGTTAATGAAGCTCTCAATTTTCACATTTGCCACTACAATGCAGGCCAGGACTAAAGAATTTCTGTGAGATGGAAGACGAAGATTGAGACTGAATGACACAATCTAAGCAACCACCTGTAAGGAGTCGGGTCTATCAAGAAACCGTCTTGCGTCCTGTCCCTTTCTTGCTCTATATCAATGAGCTCCCGCATCCAATGAAGTCATTGCTATTGTTATTCGTCAACAGTATGAAAATATGAAAGGTAATTAATAATAATGTTCGAGTACGGGACCGACATTATTGTACTTTCCTGGCACCCCTACCAGTGAGAAACTACCATGCGTCCTCTCGGCTGACAGAGTCGAGTGCTGGATCAAGATCAAGAACCACAGCTGGTTTCAGGCATCAGTAGGTATCCCTGCGTTTCGGAACTTGTCAGAAGATAAATATTCGATCGATACACCCAGGTTTGAAACCTGCCTGGTTTTCTCGGATTTGTTGTTTCTGAGCTCCACTTTGACGTCTGATAATTATGGGATCCAGAATTGTAGACACTATGTTTATCAGGCTGGTCCCCGTGTGGTTATCACATGAGGATCTCTCCCTCGTCTCGTGGACCGGGAAAACCATTGATTAAGACTAACCGGAAAGGATCATATCTAATTTTGTGAGAAGCAAACAGGAGAAAAACTGCATACTAAAGATTTGACCCAAACTTCCTGTTTTAGAAGTGAAGAATGATAGTTTGTTGAGTCCGACGTGTCACTGGAAACCTTTCTTTGTTTCCAATATCGACCACTTCACTCGTTTGGGAAGTTGCATCAGCTCGAACAGGTTGTTTTTCGACGGAATCTCAGCTGAGTTACAAAAGGCCCGTTTGGCATCTGCTACTTTGTGTCATCTTTGGTGCCAACTCGCAAAATATCTGACTACCTGTTAGAGGACGAGTATACTCCGTTTCACTTAATTCTGTCGAGTTATACGGTAATGAAACATGATTATTGAGGATGTGAAGACGTTTTAGGTATTCGAACACAAGTGTCTTTGTACCATTTTTGACGTGAAGTCAGACGATGGGTACTAGGAAAGGCAGGTAAGTCAGTGGACTAGGTTGTGAACTTTCAGAAACTGAGGTAGTTTGGACACACATTGGGTATACCCAGCCATCACCTACCTCGACGTGTAGTGTATGTGTACCAATAAAGTCAAAGGGATTTTCTTCATAAAGGTTTCATTATTATATTTTTAGATGATTCCACAGTTTGTCGCCAATTAAATGTACCAAGAAGAAGCATGTTGAGTGGCAGTGAAGTTTAATCCATGACATCTTGTTCTGTTTTTGGCCTTCACTCACCTGTTCTTTTGGTGTTTCACGTCTATTCTGCATACATCAATGAATACTTGCAACCGACTTGATCTTAAGATTGGTGTTGATGGTGTCAGTTGTACTGATTTTTCAATTGTTGGTGATAAGATTTTTCTCGCTGTTGGTACATGCAATGGAAGAGTTCGCCTGTAAGTAGTTAAACTTTTAGCTTGAGATTCAACTGTATTTCAGGTTTGACTATATGAACCGAACAAATTCTTTATACCAACGCCGTTGGCACAAGACTATTCGATGCTTGTCATTCTTTCCTGCATTACCAAATTTATTAGTCTCAGCATCCAGTCAAAGTGGTTTGAAAATACATGATATGAACTCTGAAAAACAGATATGGGCGTGTTTTCAAGCTCACGGGAAGTCTCCTATATCCAGCCTTTTAACGCTAAAACATGGACAGTGGGTTACTGGCGATGAAGACGGAGTGATCAAGGTGAATTACTTTTTTTGTACTGTTTATTTAAACAATCTCTAGTGTAATAGAGCTGTGGTTCAATGGTTTAGGGAGATGACTATCAACCATTGGGCTGTGGGTTCAAGACCCGCTCCACCTACTAAGGTTTAGCCAGCCGCATAGTATCACTAACCTTCATACAATTAGTGTGGCTCATTGCCTACTGTATGCATGTGCATAGGGTGGCTGAGTGTATTTAGTTCATTTCGTAGTGGTAATCATTGTTTCATTGTTAATGTGAAAATGGCCTTCTTGAAGTAATTATGCTTTTATGTGCTGGTAGTAGATAAATTTTTCCACTCAGTAATAGTTACGTCATATCTGCTACTTCTCTTTTTTGCTAGTTATGCAGCATCTTTCAAGGTGTTAATACTGGTGGGTAGAAACCTAGGTACAAGATTACTGGGCTGCTTTCTTTCATTATTATTATTTGTCCCTTGGTTTCCTAGTAAAACATACGGCTTCTGTACCACGTCGCCATTTCACTCTCTTCTCTCCTGGCTACACGACCGCCTGTTACCTTTCATTTCTTTCTCACACTATCTCCTCCATGTCACCCTCAAACACCCAACTTGTCGTTTCCCATTTAGGTTCTACTCGACGCCTTTACCTGGCCTAGCCTAACGCGTGATATCCCCAAACCGTCTTCTCAGTGTATGTCCAATCCAACCCATCTTCACTTTCTTCTACAGCATATTTGTTAAGTGATAGCTTTTTGCTTTGTTGGTTGGTTCGTTGCCAGGCCAGAGTTCCTTAATCCATATTCTTTCTGGCCTTCCGATCTGATCTTCAGTATGGAGTGAGTGTAGGCGGCAGCTGTTGTTGTTGTGTATCTGCACTTTGTTGGAAATGCTTTTCGTAACACGCTAAGTCTATGCATGAACCATATAGAATCACTGACTTGACTGACTTAGTGTTGAAAATCCGGATCTTTATACTGAGTCCAGTGCAGTGCACTAGATCTCCACACTGATTTCAGATTAAAGAAGACCTGTCTTGCTCTTTTTGATCCTGGCTGTGACGTTCTCATCTGTGCCGTCACCACCGCCTGTAGTTGGGACAATGTTGCCTAGTTAGGTAGGTAGGTGAAAGAGACAACTTTTCTATTTCTCCCATTCATGGTGATTGGTGCTTGTTGTTGGTTGGTTGGTTGGGTATCTCCATCACCTGTGTCTTCTCTACGTTCGCCTGAAGGAAGTGCCGTCTTCACCGCCTTATATCTTGTGTCAACTTGTTAGTTTTCGCCTGTAGATCTTCGAGACATAAGTGATGATGAGTGAAATGCAAATGTTGTAGGGTCTTTTCACCTGTCAAACAGCGTATGCTCATCTTCTCGCTCTTCACAGTTTGTTGTATGATCCAGTCGATCACAATCAGAAAAGTCATTGGTGATAGTAGGCGGAAACCTTGTTTTATCTGTTAACCTGTCGTCACTTCAAAGGGATCACAGCTTTCTGTTGTGAATCACTTGGCATGTAGCATCCTCATATAGCATATAGCTGCTATTGAATGAGGTTGGTAAAGGTTTGTAGCACTAAAACCATAGTGTTTAAGCAGCTGCCAAATTACTCCTCGGTCGATTTCTTCCCTTCAGCACGAGGTAATCAGGCCCTGGTTTATCTGAACTGAACTTATCCTATTCTTACTGGTCATGTAATAGGTTAACTTAATCGTTGAACAGTAGCCAGGGTTATTCTTTCTGAGTTAGTTTTTAGAGGAAATGTTTTATGTTTTATTCTTAGTCGCTCTCTTGCATAGATAATCTTTCAAACACAATATGAAGTGTTTAGATCTGATTGAACCAACCCAATATGTTTAGGGATTATTAAGTGCTTGTTGTAATAACGAAATAGTTGGAAAGACCATGTATGCACGCTCACTATTTTCTTAGAAGACCCAATAGATCCTGGTAAAATGTATCCTTCTTTCACTTCTTCCCAATTTCACTGAGTGGTTAGTAAATAGACATTGATGTGTTTATGCTTCGATGGAATTCCGTCCGAACTCAGGACTAGACAACATGAAATTGGTTACTTACTAAAACAAAAGGCTTTTAATTCTGGAATAAAGATTATCTGTGTAGTTAATTTGTGTATCGTGTTTTTTCGAAGGAGAAGAGTATCCTTTTTAAACTGTCCAGTTCAATTGTACACAAACTGTGAGGAGTTGTGAAAATATGAGCACACGCTGTTTGACCAATGAAAAGACCCTACAACATTTGCATTTCGCCAATCATCATTTATGTCTAATGTCTTATATCGCACAAACTCGAAGATCTACAGGCAGAAACTAACAAGTTGGTAGAATATGAGAGACACTTGCGTCAGGTGAACGTAGGGAAGACACCGGTGATGAAGATATCCAACCAACATCGATAACAACAACAAGCACCAATCACCATGAAGGAGAGAAGTCGAAAGGAAGTTGTCTCTTTCATCTACCCACCTAACTAGACAGCATCGTTTCAACTACAGGCGGCACAGGCACACACGACAGTGTGAAAGGCAGCATGACAGGTCTTCATTAATTTGTGGAGATGAATGTGGAGATCTAGTGCACTGCACTGGACTCAGTATAAAGAAGAAGATCCGGATTTTCAACATTAATTCAGTCAAGTCAGTGTTTCTAAAAGGTTCAGAAACTTGTTACGATCTAATGCTATAGATAACGATACAACGCTCCGAGATGTTACGACTAACGATAGAACAATGACTTCTCAACTGGATATTCAGCTGACACCAGAAAAAGACGATGGGATTGAAAGTTTATTCACTCCAACTGAATAATAATAGGTGAAAACTCAGTCGTTTATATATCCGTAGTTGGCCTTAGCCAAACAAAACAAAATAGCATATTCAAAATGTAAAATGGACCAATCAGCATTTAGTATCCTAAACTGCGGCAAGAATAAGCAACATAGCATGACACAAAAAGGGAGCGAAAATTGGGCTTAAACTTAACAATGATAATATAACCATAAATAAGTTAGTTTTCTTTAGGGGTTAGCCATCCCTAACAAGACTTGGCTCGTGAAGCGGGGTTCAAAAGACTTCAGAGAAGATGATGAAACGATTATTTGCTACTGAAGCCTGGTGTTCCACTAGGAACCAAAAGGACATAATAATAATAGCTCAGTTGCACGTTTAAGAGTCCAAGGGAAATGAAGGGAACCTGATACAGCTGTTTATATATTTAGTCATGAGCTACGTATATTGTGTGACAGTTAATTATACTACTGGCTGGCCAAGATCGAAATAGGTGGAGTAGGATTCGAACCTGGTACCCCACTGCTCGAATCGATGAGCCATATCGCCAGATAGTGAGAAGATTGTGCCATATATAACCGACGGTGGGGGTTGGTGTTAGCCTTATGTTATTTGTTTAATGTCTATTTCAAGGTGATATTCATCATAAACTGAGATCAGTTGGCGAACCACTGAAAACTTGGGGTCACTAGACAGCTGTTTCGTCCTGGTGCAGGACTCCTCAGAAAGTACCCTCTAAGGAGCTGGCTAGGGATCGAACTCAGAACTTTCAGGTTTCCCGACAAACGCGTTAATCGTTCAACTACTGCATCGAAGTTCAGCAGTCAACAGTTTCCTACCTCTGTCAATTCACGATACAGCGCGACTCTATCCATCTGCTTCACTTCCGTCTGGTTAACGCCACAAATTACACTTTCTCATTAGAACTTCGGGATATCCATCTATGAAGCATTTCACTAATGTGTACTATATTAATTTGATGTCTATAACATTGCTCATGTATTCTTCAGTGATATCATCCTCTATCATATCTCTGTTTTGATCTAAGCCAAGTTGTATTATAAGTAGTTATTTTCTCGAGAGAGCGGAGTGTATTAGACCTGCTGTTGACACATTGACTATTACCTTTCCTTACTTTGCTTATCAGATGTGGGATTCAAGGAAGTCAGGTTGTGTTTCAGTTATGACTCCAAGTGAGGACCATAAATTTGATGATCATTTCAATGCTATCAACGATCTGGCTGTGTCCGAAGACTCCCACGGTACTCTACTGGCTGCTGTTGATGATGGAACATTAGCAGTTTATAACATCCGACGTAGACGCTTTGAGATGGCGTCAGAAACACTTGGATACAGTGCTCGTACCCTCTGTATTGTCAAGGTAAGCTTTTCTGACATATATATATATATATATATATATATATATATATATATATATATATACATATATATAGGTTTTGGTTCTAATTTATACGAAAATAATCACCTTTTAGTCTTTCAAAGCTACCATTGTCGATGACATATTAGATGTATATTTTTCAGCAAACACACTGAGATTTACACAAAATACCCTATGTCTGGAGATATCATGCGCCAGGCCAGGTCGTCGAGTAGAATCCAAAGGGGAAACGACGAGTTAGGCGTCCGAGGGTGACATGAAGGAGATCATGTGAGGAACAAATGAAAGCTTGTGGGCAGTCGTGGAGCGAGGTTCAGAAGACTACAGAAAACAGAGTGGGATGGAGATGTGCTGCTGAAGCCCTATGTTCCACTAGAAACCCAAGAGACAAATAATAATAACAGCCTATGTCTAAAGGTAATTCATGTTATATTATTGGAAGCAATCAGTCAAAGCTTTGGTAATTTTGGTTTTGTGTTTGTTGGCACTAAGTTGAATTAAGTTGAATCCGCATCCTCTGTGGAAGTGATACTCTATTTCATATCCCGCTGACTGCCTGACAAAATGAAGAACGTCGCACACACGTGGATCGGCTCAAGTTACTACGCTTCACAGTATGCAAAGAACAAGTGGCTAGAAAAGGATTGAGATCAAAGTTTGTGTGAGAGTATAAACAACTCGAAAACAACTTTTAGTGCGAATATTCAAGCTTGAGGAGATGTCGAGGAGTGAATACATTTGTGCCATTGTGACTGATTTTCGGTCATCTCACCAATAGTCCTCAACTACTAACTCCTTTTGTCTCGGCGACCCCAACCAGGCAGTGAAAACCTCATACGACTCAGACCGACAGTCAGCGACTTCATAGACTGGGACTAGGTCTTCGTTTAGTCATCCTGAACCGTCTTCCAACTTAATCCAACTTCTCCCAGGATGGCATGTTGAGGTAGGTGGTGGCTTGGCTTGCGCAGTACATGTCTCCACCAGGTCAATCGATGAAGGTTCGCAACCTCACCAATCGACTTGCCTGCCCTGACTTGTACCATTCATCTAATGTCAATGTTGCTCACATTATGTTTCCACCAAACGTTAGGAATGCTCCCAAGACATCTGTGATCAAAACCCTGTAGTCGCTTCATGTCTTCTACTTCTAACGGCCATATGTCACAGCCGTACAACGAGATAGAATGGACTGTAGTTCAGCACACTAGTCCATTGATGCATAGTCGGATATCTCGTTAGTTAGCACCAGAGATGTCGCAAACTGACAAATGTAAGACAGGTCTTCTGTATCCGAGTTGACACTTCGTCAACATCTAGGTCGTTCAGCGGGTTGATGCAACTCCTCAAGTAAGTGAAGTGATCAATACATTCCACCACTTCACTATCTATCATTAAACTGAGAGTACTTAAAACAGATTCCTATTTTTAAAGGTTACTCTTGTTATATGATTGGAAAAACTTCGGATATCTTGGTTTTTTGTATGTTGGCACTTGTCATTAAGTTGTATCCTTATCATCTATGGAAGTGATACTCCATTTCAGAGATCATAACTCATGTCTGTCAGAGGGAAGAATCACTTATCAGCTATACATAGCATCACTAATGATCTCCTGATGAAACCCCAAACATTGTGTCAGAGATATATGATATTCACTATTTGTTTTTACATCCAGTCTTTATCATGTGTTCAATGTTATACGTTACAGGAAGTTCCAATTGACTTGTTAATATTTATCAGCAAAGTGTATTTACAACCAAGGGGAAACTCGTGCTCATGGGAAGGTTATAATCCGCTTCAGTCAGTAGTTTCGAAGTTAGACACGTAATCATTAAGCTATTTGAGTGAGTCATGATTGATTCCCTATAGGATTTAATTATGTATGTACTTGAGTCGAACATTGAACCGTGACGAATTTATTTATCGAATTCTATGTATTGAATATTGATTAACCAAGTTTTCAGTGTAATAATTATGCTTATTGATATGATTTAGTGTTTTACTTCGGGTATTCACTCATGAAAATGTTTTGTTTAGGCCTCTGGGAATATCTATACTTTTTCAAAGTCTTGATTTCATAATTCTATTCGCCTTCTACATAGACCAGAAATCAGGTTAGTGGATCATTGGCTCAAATCCAAATTCATCTACTAAGGTTTAAGTAATTAGGAGTGTAGTGTAGTATTGTTAACCTTCACACAACACATGTGACTCATTACTGTTTACTGTACAAACGTGCACGAGGTTACTGACTAATTTTCGACTAGTTAAGTATACTAATCACCGGATTACAGTGATCAAATTTCTTCAGGATCTTTACAGCCTGTCGTCTGCACATTGAAATTACGATTCACATGGGGAATATGATTATCTTAACATGAAAAGTAGTTAGTAAACAGAAAATGTCTGGTACTTAATGATGAAATTTAATCACCGAGAAGTTTTCTACCCTCAGATTGTTTGCTTCAGTTGTTGTTATTTCACAGTAAAGCCGGATGTCAAACTAAATCTGAGTATTTCTCTTTTCCGTGACAGTACATAGAGCCAAAACAATTTTGTGCGAAATTCTTTTCTAACTTGATGTCTACTCAAATCTTATGGTAATATTATGTGGAAGAATAATTAGTCCCCAAATAGCTTAGTGGGTGTAAGGTCTCTGGCTGCAGCAATGGATAACGCCGGTTCAAATCCCTCAGGAGACAGTAGTTCCCTTGTGATTGCAGATACGTCCCCCGACTGTCGATCCAAAAAGCTATGCTGGCGGGAACGTTTATCGTTTGAGGTCCAACCATACCAAAACATTTTCTTAAATGGTGGAAAGGTGAAAGATACAGTTACGGTTACAGTGTAAATAGAGCTGTCTTATAGCTGCTCAACCCTCGGTGGGAGGAACAGGGTTCGAACCCGTCACCCATGGGTTGCATATCGATAAGCCACGCAAAAAGCATACTCCTTCCCCGCCCTACAGTATTCGGATGCTAGCACTATGGATTTCTCGTTTCTGATATTCGCACAGTCGAATATCAATCCATAACTCCTAAAAAACCCTGTGTAACTGGTCCCAAATAGGTGTCCTATATGCTCTGTGGTCACGCAGAACTAATCCAGTTTCTCTTTCAGGTATCTCACAGAAATAACTCCCATAACGTGGGCAGCTGGGTTGCGTCAACCGTCAGCATACTTCCAGTATCATACAAAACCCAACTAGCCACACCCTATCCTCTTTACTTTTGTCTGTTCCTTCGCCTTCACTTCCTGATATTAATATTAAGCCTCCCACAACTTCCTCAACCTCTCACTCTGCAAACATTGCCAACAGTCAACGGCATCGAAACCTCATTTCTAGTCTCCTAAAACCACGCTATCGAATTCACACTGGAGCTTTCGACTCTCGAACCCCTTGGCAAATCCAGCAACAGGGGTCTTTTTGTCTATTGATCTAAGTCTTGTAGGGATGTGTGGCCTGTGTGACTGGGTTCTCCACGATAGCAAAAATCAAGGGTTAGAAACTGTTGGTGGTTTGAATGAGAATCGGTCACCATATCATCTAGAGTCTCCAACCGCTGTTTCTTCTTATCCCACAGACTCCAACCGGCTAGTCTACATCGCCCCACATGGTTCAAACCAACAGTCAAGGACTTCATGCACTGATACCATGTTTTAGTCTGGTCGCCTCCAGCCTTTTTCCATCCTGAACCTACTTCGGCCAACATCGTGTGATGAGGTAGAGGGTGACTAAGCATACGTAACACATGTTCAAGTCAGACATCCCAGTCAGTGAAGGTCCATAACTGTATCAAATGACCTACCTCTTCTCCCTAAAACTCCACGTCTGACTTCTGCATTACTCACGTGGTGACAACACAAATGCAACGGTGGTCAAACACCTGAAGCTTTCTTATGTCTTCTACCTCTAATGATCATGTTTCACAGTTATATAGTAGTACACAGCGAACTGCAGCACAGTTCACTTGACCCTTAATAGGCAATCGGATATCACAGCGAGGCCACAGGTAGAGTCAGTTGGCGAAAGCCAATCGAGCCTTTTTTATGCATGGAGAGATTTCGTCAGCCACTGACCAACGCACCAGGGCTGATCCAACTTCCCAGGTGAGTGAAGTGGTCAACATGCCCAATCACTTCACTCTGTTGTGTTAGCTGGGGCACTGCTTAAGATCAGTTCTGGAGAAACAGTTTACTGAGAAATGTGGTTCCATGTTGATTTTGTCTATTCGAAGCATGCCCAAATCAGTCCACCGGATAGTGAGCAATGTGTAGTCATTAAACCTTATGTGCTAATCAAAGTCTACGCTGTGACTGTCAGGCTGTTGTTGTGACAAACACTACGATGGACTGTTATAGTGTTAGATATTGGAAGTTTATCGACTGAAGGCCCCACTTTGTCTAGGTATAGCACTTTATGGCATTCATAAGTATAAACTGTCTCTGCAATCATGAGAAAACTCATCTCTCCAGAGACTCAAATTCTTATCACTCGGTAAAAACGTTACAGGAGTAAATAATAAGTTATTCAGGCCACCAATAACCACCGCTGCTCTCTTGTTGGACTAGATATACTGCTGAGGAATTAGTCATAAAGTAATCGTTGAAGTATGTTGAGATCCAGGACTTTCTCGCACTGTCTGCTAACACTGAATATCGAAGATGACTTCCCTATCATCTTATTTTTTCCGTTTAATGTCTTTTTAATCTAGGCATTCCTACTTCACATCGAAAACTAAGCTATCTTCTTAAGCTATCATTACTATTATTATTATTATTATTATTATTATTATCACCACTATTGTTGTCATCATTATTATTAGTATTGATGTTACTACTATTATCACTGTTGCTATTACCATTATTGTCATTATTATCGTCACCATTATTATTATTATTATTATTATTATTATTACCGTCATTGTCATTGTTATTACTATCATTACCGTTCATCATCATCCATCAACATAGGACCAGGCATTACTGCGTAACGGTCCAACTTGCCGCCACACCTCATATCAATACATCAAATAAAAAGGCAGTGAAGTGGAAGATGAAGAAAAGAAAATTCACTCAAAAGAAATATGAAATAGTAAAAGAGAGAAAGGAAGAATAAGAAAATGGTGAGATTCGGTAAAGCGTTAAGATGAGGATAATGTGTGTAGATGCATCTGCCCCACTGACATCGGTTCTCAGCCATATCATTTACATTCAGTCTCCAACCACTGGTTTCTCTTGTCCCACAGACCCGAACTAGCTAGTCTACATCACCCCACATGTCTCAAACCAACAGTCAAACACTTCATACATTGATGCCATGTTTTAGTTTGACCACCTCGGGCCTTTTTCCATCCTGAACCTACTTCGGCCAACATCGTGTGATGAGGTAGAGGGTGACTAGGCATACGTAACATATGTTCAAGTCAGACATCCCAGTCGGTAAAGGTCCATAACTGTATCAACTGACCTACCTCTTCTCCCTAAAACTCTACATCTGACTTCAGCGTTATTCACATAGTGACACTATAGAAGACGGTCTATATTTCGAAGACAGCGGTGGTCGAACACCTGAAACTTTCTCATGTCTCCCACCTTTAGTGGCCATTTTTCACAACCATAAAGTAGAACAGAGCAGACTGCTGTGTAGTACACGCCACCCTTAATAGACAATCGGATACCATGGTGGCGCCACAGGTGGCGTAAGTTGGCGAAAGCTAGCCGAGCCTTTCACCATTATTATTGTTATTACTATTACTATTATTATCACCATCATTATCATCCTTACCATTATTATTACCACTGTTATTATTATTATTATTACTGAGTCTAATTGTCGACTTCCTGTTCCATTTTGTTACACAGGCTAGTCAAAAAGTCCTTGTCGGTACTGATGAAGGCGTGATATGCGTTTTTAATTGGAATGAATTTGGAAATATATGTGATCGTTTTCCAGTGCATCCTTTACGACCATCTAAACACGGGCAGGCTAGAACAGCTACTGCCGGTGTACATTCTGTTGAGAAGATAGTAAAGATTACAGATGATATTGTTGCCGTGGCTACAGATGATGGAGTAATAAGGTTAGATAATTGGTTTTGCCACTACCTTTTTTTAAAACGGATATATTATTCATTTGTGTAGAGTGGAAGGGAACTCAACTACTTGATTCACAATTTTTTCATTATTTGTCCCTTGGCTTCCTAGTCAAACATACGGCTTCGGTAGCACGTCGTTATTTCACTCTCTTCTCTCCAGTCTTTATAACCTGGCTAAACGACTGCCCATTACCTTTCATTTCTTCCTCACACAATCTCCTCAGTGGCACCCTCGGACGCCCAATTCGTTTTGTCCCATTTGGATTTTACTCGACGGCTTGGCCTGCCGCGTGATGTCCCCAAATGGTCTTCTCAGTGTATGTTCAATCCAATCCAATCCAACCCATCTCCACCTTCTTCTCCTACATATTCCTTGGGTTATAGCTTCTCGGTTGGTTCATCGCCAGGCCACAGTTCCTTGTTGCATATTCTTTCTGGCTATCTGATCTGATCTTCAATATCGAGTGAGTGTAGGTGGCAGGTGTTCATGTATGTCTGTAGTTTGTTGGAAAGTCTTTACTTAACGCGCCAAGTCTGTGAAGCATATGGAAGGACTGACTTGACCGAATCAGTTATGAAAATCCGGATCTTCTTCTTTATACTGAGTCCAGTGCAGTGCACTAGATCTCCACATTCATCTCCACAGATTAATGAAGACCTGTCATGCTGCCTTTCACACTGTCATGTGTGCCTGTGCCGCCTGTAGTTGAAACGATGCTGTCTAGTTAGGTGGGTAGGTGAAAGAGACAACTTCCTTTCGATTTCTCTCCTTCATGGTGATTGGTGCTTGTTGTTGTTATCGTTGTTAGTTGGATACCTTCAACACCGGTGTCTTTCCTACGTTCACCTGAAGGAAGTGCCTTTCATATTCTACCAACTTGTTAGTTTCTGCCTGTAGATCTTCGAGTCTGTGCGATATAAGACATTAGACATAAATGATGATTGGCGAAATGCAAATGTTGTAGGTTCTTTTCATTGGTCAAACAGCGTATGCTCATCTTTTCACAACTCCTCACAGTTTGTTGCATGATCCAGTCGACCACAATCAGGAAGATTATCGATGGTATATACACAGGTTACTCAGCAAATTTGATTTTCGAGGCCTTTTTATGCTACTCAATTGTTTAGGCTCGGAATTACTTACTTACTTATTATTGTTTATTTGCACTTTTCTCAATGAAAAGAACATCACTCAATGGGTTGTAGGCGCATCCAGCTGAGGAGCCTCAAGCAGGACGAAACGCGCCTTCTGGATTTCACTGATAACCACCAACTAGACTAGAATATTATATCGCGAAGAGATACAGTAAACCCTAACAACTCTAAGTAGACACAAAAAGTGGTCAGTTACTGAAAAGGCTGTCTGAAGAAATTCGTACATAGAGGCCAAATAATTGTAGCATGACAGCCACTAGATTTGGTTCCGACCTATTTTTCCTGTCGTCTGAAGCCATTGAGTCACCTTGTCTCTTTGAACCCACCGAAGGAGTCTTGAGGCACTTGTAGACGGCAGTCCAACACAACCATCCTTTATCCAATAACATCGTCATACACTAACCACCTTTCCACTTTTCCTAACCAGTCCCAGAGCAAGCTAGCTGACAACTTGCGGTAAACGTGACCTCACTCATTGGATGATGATCTCATTCACGTGCAAACCTTCAGTGTCTCATCTCAGAATCCCATGAAATGCGAGCAGTCTTGCGGAGGCAACTGCCCAAGTACACAAACTTTTGGATAACCTGCAACGATTCATCTTCAATGATGAGTACAGATATAAGTTCCTGACAGTCTTGTTAACGTACTTCGCACTTCTATGGTGCAATTCGCCAACTGATCGAGTGTGATCCAACTAACCTGAACGTCGTTTTCGCACTATGAAACAGTATTGTCCACATACTTGAGACAGACATCACTACACGCTGCCTTCTAGGTTGTCTCGAAAATGTTATCGATAGAAAAAAATTATAGAACAATGGTGACACCAAGCAGCTCTGCCTAAGACCACTAATGATTTAAACCATTGCGAAAAAGTGATGGTATAGTTTCACTTTATCTGAGATGTTAAATTACAAGACTTTCATTATGTTGATAAACTTCTCAGACACACTGCCGCCCACACTGTCCAAGTCTGAAGTCAATGTGTAGATTTACTGCACTCAATATAAAGAAGAAGATCCGGATTTTCATAACTGATTCGGTCAAGTCAGTCCTTCCATATGCTTCACAGACTTGGCGCGTTAAGTAAAGACTTTCCAACAAACTACAGACATACATGAACAGCTGCCATCTAAACTCACTCGATATTGAAGATCAGATCAGATGACCAGAAAGAATATGCAACAAGGAACTGTGGCCTGGCGATGAACCAACCGAGAAGCTATAACCCAAGGAATATGTAGGAGAAGAAGGTGGAGATGGGTTGGATTGGATTGGATTGAACATACACTGAGAAGACCATTTGGGGACATCACGCGGCAGGCCAAGCCGTCGAGTAAAATCCAAATGGGACAAAACGAATTGGGCGTCCGAGGGTGTTCTACTAAGAAGCCAAGGGACAAATAATGATATAATGATCATCCAAAGTTGGTAACCGCTTCACTTTCGAGTGATTTACCTGACTGATCTTCAAACAGACACTAGTTGATGAAAAAAAAGTAGATATATTTCAATGCAAAGATCCAATATTCAAACTTTAAGAAATTAACTGTTGGCATAGCATCGTTAATTAGCCAGTACACATGTAGATGTCAGTTGTCTAGGTCAAAATGAGTCGAAGGAATTTCAACATCTAACGCACGGATTTAATGATGAACGGGTTGAATATATTTAAATGAAAATCAGCCTTGGACGCATACACACTGTATGAATATCAAGTATTTCAAAGTATATTGTTAAGCCTAATCACAGTGAATGATTCTATACACCCCGGAAAATGCTCCCGACCCCACTCTTTTCTGTAGTATTTTGTTATTTGTCCAATGTCGAGGTCAAAGTAGACACATTGACTTTTCGATTCGAATTTCTCGACCATTGGGTCTACAAGATGGTTATCTATCCTTATGTGTCAGACTAATTCTCTGTAGTTTTCGTGGAGATTGTACAACCACTGAACCATTTGTGGACATTTATATATATATATATGTGTGTGTGTGTGTGTGTGTACTTCTGTATCCCGTCAAAATATTTCCTGCTAGTCCAGTACACACATCTTAAATAACTCTGATCTTCAAACAGTTCAGCAAGGTTTGTTGTCTTTTAACTAAATGATACCAATGAAGAGTTACTAAAGTTTAGATGAAAATAGGCTGAATGGTTTGTATTAATGATGGATAGTGGCTAACAGTGGAACTCAGGATGTGCGTTTCATCCTACTTGGGACTCATCACCTAGATATACCTCCCTCCCAGTGAGTGATTTTGTCCCTAATAAGACTCGAACTTGAGACGGATTGCTTCAAACACCAGGCTGTTGAGACGTTATCAGCTATGGCCTAGAATCAAAACCAGTGGCAGTCATACTATAACTTCTTTCTATCTTCTGAATGCTGAAAAGTAATGAATATTTATTGAAATGTCATTCTTACTGTGTTTTTATTTTTTACTTATCCACTCCCCTTCGCTTTATGTCTATACAATGTTGTTGTATTATTTTATGTGGTACATTTCTTGGTGCTTTTTCTGTACGATGTTTATGTTCTGAGGTCAAAGTTTCACAACTATAGAGGAGAACTACTTTCATCGAAGTCTTACTCATTCAACCTTTTTACAATCCAATCGATGTCATCTTAGGTAAACCAAATTGTCATATCACTGGGTGTGGTTTTGGAGATAGGGTTAGAAATCTCATCTGTAAATATCCCGCCAGTTGTGTTTAAGTTTCTCAGTAAGGACATGATCACTTAGTGGGATATAGGTAAATGTGGTTTAATGAGTCACTAAGAAGAAGAATGGCTTGTTCCATTCTAGTCTGTTTATTAGAAATATCATACAGTGAAACAGTAGCATTTACTGGATAACGTACTTTTCAGACACACATTTATTGTCCATATTCATATCAGGTAACCAACTCCACAACTTCGAGACAGACTTTATATATTCCTGATTTTCTCTTCTTCTCTGTGATGACAAGGATAGTAGAATTTTCCATATATGTGGGACAGGTGCAGGATCATTTCGATTGCATGTGTTTGGTGTTGATTCGATTAATAAAGATTCAGTCGGTTGTCAGTCAATCTCTCCCTCCCTCCACCCAACTGAGTTGTTAGTTTTCAACACTGTCACCCTATCCTACCCTACTGTGTGATTGTGTGTCATCGCATGCAGAGCTATAGCCGAGTTTTTCTCTAGATTTCTTATCTTATTAGGATCTACTAATCTTGATTTAGGTAAGTTTTTGTGCTCTGTTATTCTAATCGACACTAGTTGACTGCTTTGACCTATGTACTTGACCTAGCAGTCATTGCAAGGGATCTGGTAAACCAGGTTATATTGCTCATTTGCGTCAATAGGAGGATCTTTCAACCTATAAAGCTTGTTTCTAACCTTTCAGTTTGTTGGTTTGAATACCACTTTAATCCTAGTCAGCCTTATTGAGAATTCTTCGCAATGCTTGTAAGATGTCTTCTTTGTATGGTAACACAGTAGAGGCTTTGAATTCTCTCTTAACCCTGTCACCATTATAACCATTAGTAGTGGGATTATTATTAATAACACCTGTATTACTACTACTACCAGTGGTAATATTTTTCTTTCGATTTCTTATGAATTTATTGGTAAATTTTAGTGGGTAATTGTTGAGACGTAGGGTATTCTTGATGTGGCCAATTTCTTGTTGCAGATTTTCCAACCTACTAGTAAGCTTTTTCGCTGTATCACTTAAGCATGTAACTAGGCCTACTTTAATTGAAATGGGGTGGGATGATTCGAAGTCTAAGCAGCAATTCGAATGGGTAGGTTTCCTATAAACACTAGTCTCTAGATTTCCTTCTTGTGTTCATTTAATCTTGCAATGCACCACTCGCTAGCTCACTTTCACCACTGTCTAAGTCATATGTATAATTAGAATGGCATTCACTACTGAATTTACATGTGTCAAGAACGTGTTGATATGTTCCGATTTCTACGTATCAGAAGTATATTTTTGGAGTAGGACTAAATGTTTCAAGGGCCACCTGTTCCCAACTATCCATAAATATGTCTGCGACGATAGGAGATATTGGTGATCCCATGGCAAAACCTTCAGTTTGTTTATATATTTTATTTGAAAACTTAGAAACTGTAGATGTTAGGCACAATCGTACTCCTAGTATGATTTCCTCGACCGGCACCTTAGTTCGATGCGTAAGTTCTTTGTCATCCTTCAACCTATTCACACTGCCTTCAGAGCTATGTCGATCGATATATTTGTGTAAAGGCTAGTTATGTCAAAACTAACCATTTTTTTTTACTGTCATCTAAGTGTATGTCGTCTGATCTGCGCTTTAAGTCATAAGAGTTGGAAAGTCGAGACTTTGAGTGATTTCTTACTGGGCCTAACACCATTGCTAAATATTTCGACAAGTCGTAATTCGGAATGTTTCTAAAATCTACTATAGGCCTGATGGGGGTAATCTGGCTTATGAATCTTAATAGTACCATACATTCTACTGGAATTATTAGTTTTCGGCATTAAATTAAACCACTTTGACTCACCTAGAAATGACTTCATCCGGCGTATCAGAACATAGGCATGCTTACAGACGCCCGACAATAGCTGTATTTCTCGATCTGAAGGCGGCATTTGACTCCGTTGATCGAGAAGTCTTATGGCAATGTCTGTCACTGAAAGGCATGCCTAGTAAGTACATTACGTTATTGAAAGCTCTCTACTCGAACACTTGTGGGCATGTTAGAGCCTATGGCGAGTTGTCCAGGGAGCTATACTCATCGAGTGGTGTCCGTCAAGGATACCCACTATTCCCATTCTTATTTAATTTTATCATAGATATTCTTATGGAGGTTTCCCTCTCGTCACCTAATTACAGAGACGTTGACCCAATCACAGGTGAATTTTCTTTAGATCTAGAATATGCAGATGACATAGTCCTGTTAGGTGAAGACACTGACAAGATGCAGAGTCTTCTGAACACTTTGGTTGGGAATTAGAGAATGTTTGGGATGCGGTTTTCACCACCCAAATGCAAATTTTTGCTCCAGGACTGGTCTTCAGCGGTGCCGCGGTTAACAATAGAGAGTTAAGTGGTTGAGTGTGTTGACCACTTCACTTACCTGGGAAGTAGGATCAACCCTGGTGGGTTAGTTGCCGATGAGATTTCTGCACGGATACAAAAGGCTCGATTGGCTTTTGCCAATTTGCGCCACCTATGGCGCCGCCGTGATATTCGTTTGTCTATTAAGGGTCGCGTGTACTGCACAGCAGTCCGCTCTGTTCTACTATACGGCTGTGAAACATGGCCATTGAAAGTGGAGGATACAAAAAGGCTTCAGGTGTTTGACCACCGTTGCCTTCGTAGTACAGGACGTATTCCGTTGTGTCACCATGTGAGTAATGCAGAAGTTAGGTGTAGAGTTTTGGGGAGAAGAGGTAAGTCAGTTGACGAGGTTGTGAACCTTCATCGACTGAGATGGTTGGGACACGTACTACGTATGCCTAGCCACCGATTGCCTCGTCACACAATGTTGGCCGAAATAGGTCCAGGCTGGAAAAAGGCCCGAGGTGGTCAGACTAAAACATGGCACCAATGTATGAAGTCTCTGACTGTTGGTTTAAGCCATGTAGGACGATGCAGACTGGGTGGTTGGGGTTGGCGGGACAAGAGGAACCAGTGGTTGTAGACCCTAGGTGATATGGCTCAGAACCGATGTCAGCGGCGCAGATGTATACACACATTATCCTCATCCTAACAACGCTATACCGAATCTCACCATTTTGTCACTCCTCTTTCCTTTCTTCTCGTACTTTATATTTCTTTTGACTGCATTCACTTATCTTCATCCTTCACCTCACTACCTTTTTACTTGATGTGCTGATATGAGGTGTAGGGTAACTGGGACCGTTACGCAGTAATGCCTGGTCCTATGTTGATAATGATGATGATGACGATTTTTCGACCTTATTCATAATTGTATCCACTAACTTCTTAATTTCTTCACATGCTTCTGTTTCGATATACTCGTTTACTTTGTAGATGTAGTCAAATTTGTTCATTACAACTATTGAGTTGCCTTTATTTGCTTTGGTAGTTACTATATCACTATCATTTTGAAGGTTCCTGAGAACTTCTCACTGTGATTTGAGCAAATTAAATTTCATTTTCTTCTGTTGTTTCAGTGTTAGAGCACAGTGTGCTCTGTGCTACTGTTTCACTGTGTGATATTTCTAATAAACAGACTAAAATGGAATTACAATCGACCATAGTGTCCAAGTTTTACTCTTATATTAAAGAATGGCTTGTTTTGTAGACTCATCTATTAGCTGTTACACAACGAAGTACCATAAGAACTCACAGATGTATATATTTTTTTCTCTGTTGTTATAACAGCGCTCTCAATATACTACCAAATCGTCTGTTAGGATGCATTGGTTATCATATGGATACACCGGATAGTGATACAGGAGCTGATTGTTTAACACTTTCTGTTTGTCCAGTTGAGAATATCATTGCATCAACGTGTCCTGCTAGTTCTTCTATCAAATTCTGGAATACTTCTCCAGTGATTATACAAGCTGAAAATGAGACAACAGAACTCAAATTACCTAAGCATCAGAGACAACTTGATAGTACAAAGTTGAAAGGTGTAAAATCACGTCGTTTGTGTTTAACAGATACAAGTGAACGTATGGAATATCTGGAAGGTTTATTGCCAGAGAAAGTGAACACATCATCTATACATAGTCATGATTCTTCTTCAGAGGATGAAGACTCATGGAATAGTGAAGCGGAGTGATTGTGTACACCTTATGTATATAAACTATGTCTATATAATACACAGTTCATTTTCTTCCATTTTTTCTACTTGTCGAGTAAATAAATAAAAGTAAGTGAGTAAAGTAGCTATTCATTCTCCTTCAACTTTTCTCAATTCTCTATTTACCTTTCTTAAAGTAAGAAATGAAGATAAGTTTTCAGCGAAAATGAGACTTTTCAGGTAAGTTTAGATTCATCAGAGTTCACTTTCATTGAATAGAATCATGTAGAAGTAACATAAAAACTAAGCTTGTTGAGGTTGATTTACGGAGAGTGTAGTGATCACAGAGTTGATAGTGAGTAAAGCTGAGATCTCGCCTGGTTAACTAGTTCACTAGTTACTAGCCGGTCCTAAGCCTGGGTAAATAGGGAAGGTTGGGCATAGGGCTAGCAACCCTACCCCGTAAAACAAATCTAACCGCTAAAGAAACTTAAAAGCACAAACGATATATAAAAAATGAAAACAAAATTATTCCTCGCTGGAATCGGAGAGGCGAAATGATGCCAGTTGGTGAAAGCCTTCGGGAAGCCAATTGGCCGATGTGTCTTCTCTCTCTCGATGAAAGCGAAAGTAAAGGTGGGGACATGGAATGTCCGTATGATGTTTGAACCCAGTAAGACAGCCCAGATTGCAAAAGAGATGAGAAAGTATCACATTGAAGTGCTTGGGATTTGCGAAAGCAGATGGAATGGGAGTGGACTCTCCAAACTGTCAACTGGAGAATCAATAATCTACTCCGATATTGTCACCTAGACGACAACCACGAGCACACTGAGTATTGGAGTGGCTATCATGATGTCCCCTTGAAGAGCATCGAAGGCTCTCATGCAGTGGGAACCAATCTCCTCAACGATAAGGACCATGACAGCAAGGTTCAACTCAAAAGGAAGGAAGGTCACAATCATACAATGTTATGCACCTACAAATAATGCAGAGCAAGAGAAGGAGGAGGAGGAATTCTACAGACAACTTCAATCAACATTGGACAAGACGTCAGTTGGCGATATCAAAATTCTAACGGGTTGGGTGACATGAATGCCAAACTGGGAGGGGAAAACACAGGAAGAGAACTAACCATGGGTAGAGAAGCGCTCGGTGAGATGATGAACGAGAATGGAGAATTGTTTGCAGAATTCTGTGCATTCAACGATTTGGTGATTGGAGGTGAGGCAGTGTGTTCAAGCACAAGGATATCCACAAAGCGACATCGATTCGATTTCACCAGATGGACACACTAAACATCAAATCGACTTTATCTCAATCTTAAGAAAATGGAGACGCAGTCATTTGTCTATAATAATGCACAGTTCATTTTCTTCCATTTTTTCTACTTGTCGAGTAAATAAGTAAAAGTAAGTGAGTAAAGTAGCTATTCATTCTCCTTCAACTTTTCTCAATTCTCTATTTACCTTTCTTAAAGTAAGAAATGAAGATAAGTTTTTAGCAAAAATGAGACTTTTCAGGTAAGTTTAAATTCATCAGAGTTCACTTTCATTGAATAGAATCATGTAGAAGTAACATAAAAGCTAAGCTTGTTGAGGTTGATTTACGGAGAGTGTAGTGATCACAGAGTTGATAGTGAGTAAAGCTGAGATCTACTCATTAATTAAAGCGATGCCTACTGTTTTCCTTGGCATTGGATATAGTGCATTAATTGACAAGATGAATTCTCTTCCTGGATACGCTTCATGATAAATGATAGGAATAGTACATTGAAATAGAGAGTACCGTAACAATTGAAATATCAAGTAAGTATTCATCTCAGATCATTGAAAACCTTGAAGCATTAGGCAGCTGTTTTTGTCCTAAGCAGTGAGTACCTATGACCCGTGAATATCAACTAGTACTTTTCTAACAGTTTAGTAATAAGTGTATGCATCTTTTTGGGTTTTTTCATGTATGCAAGAATTGGTTATTAGTCAGTTAGAAACTGTGTATATATGTGCTTCCTGGGCAAATGGGGTACAGGGGACGTATGTACAACATACCTTAGATATCATGAGGTCTCTGATTTTATATCTGGTCAACTACGACTGTCTGTGTAGATGTTTATCATCTCGTCTAAATCGATAAAAACTTAGTAGCTAGAAGACATTAGAATCGACTTTTTTCTAGACACCACTTCGATTATGTGGATATTTCATTTATCTTCTTTGAAGAGAAACTTGAGTATGTTTGGCATGCATTTTATACCTGTGAAATGTATGATAATCCTCCAGGAACAGCCTGTTGCAACTACTCTTAGTTTAAGGATATACAGTGAAGTGGTGAAATGTGTTGAACACTTCACTTACTTGAGGAGTTGAATCAGCTAGAATGGGCTGGTGGCTTACAAAGTCTCAGCTCGAATGCCGAAGGCCTGTTTGACATTTGCCAACTTGCGCCGACTGGGAAGATATCCGGCTATCTACCAAAGGATGACTGTACTGCGCTGCAGTCGGTTCTGTCTTGTTGTATGACTGGGACATAGCCGTTCCAAGTAGCTGACGTGAAGCGATCTCAGGGTTTATTATCATAGGTGTCTTTGCAGCATTCCTGACGTTTGATAGAATCACCGTGTGAGCAATGTTGAAGTCAAGCGAAGGGTACTAGGCAAAACAAACAAGTCGATTGATATGTCTTCGAAATGTGTTACACATAACGATCCACCGCCAACCTCGGTATGCTATACCAGGGGAGTTGGGCTAGGTTGGAAGAGGATTCAGGGTGGCGAAATCAAGACGTGGCACTAGTTCATTGAAGTGGATGCATGCGTGTGCGAGGTTCTACGTTGATTTTGTCTTTCTGTATCATAGTCTGACAGTGAGTGAGCCGAATGCCACTTCCGACACCAAAACATGGCGATGGACAGATTTTCCTCCAAGGTAAGTTGTTATAGGGAGGCCCATGGAAGAGTGTGAATTTTCGATGACTACAAGAGTTTGAAAGAGAAAAATGTAAGCTGACGACTTAGTAATCACAAGCTCATAAAGAAAAGTGTGTCATAACATATCAGAAGTGCCCGACACAAGTTTCAGTCAACTGGAGACCATTCTTCAGGAATCTCACCTTTAGAAAGTGATCACAATACGAGTATGAACTCAAAAGATTGAAACGAAAACCAGTTGGAACTTTTCTTGCTCATAAACTGTCTCCTCTGCATTCAACAACATGTTCACTACTCCTCAATTAAAGGTTAACAGACAGCCTTCCTATGTGACTTCCAACTACATGAATAAATTTATACATAACTGGCAGAGAACCGAAAAAAGGTATACCTTTCTGGACAAGTTCCAAAGAACTTATAACTCAGAGGAAGTAATTTCCACAACACAGTTGTCTCCCATATGATTGATGAAGAGGACTAACTGGATGACTTGACATCTCCCAAGATAATTCACTCGGCGAAGTATCCCACGATTCACTACGACTCTTGATGTCAATTTTCTACAGCTCTGCAACCATTGTGTGTAGGGTAATGATAATTACTACCTGACTGCTCAAACCTCGGTAGATAGAATGGCGTAGGAACCCGTGGCCAAACAGCTGAAGGTCAACTCTATAAACGAATCACCTACAATTCTAGAAAGTGCCTAAAGCCTATTTCCAGTGTTCTGCTGTATCTCTGATTGGGATCATCCGTTAACTTACTGTTACTGGTTGACATTCTCATCAGGCCGCCTGGACTTTTCAGTTCTCTTACCTGAGGCCTACCTATTCCCTCAATCTGTTAGGCATAGCCATCAAGCAGGAATCTTCAAAAAACATCTGAGAATCGTTGTATGTGTTTGTGCAAGCATTTCGTGCGCTTACCATAAAACTTCATGTATCCGATAGTCGGCATACAAAATTAATAACCTGTCTCCTTTCGTCTTAGCTCGTCCACCTCTCTGTCTTCCTTTCTCATTACTTTGCGCTCTCCAATGCACTATACAGGTAATATTCAACAGATCCCCTACCTTACTGTTACACACTTGTGAATATCATCTTAACGAATCGAATCGTCAACAAGTATTGGTCATGAGAGAGTTACCGACGAGGCGAATCACACATCAGCACTCAACGTTGATCGTAATTCATCGGTTGACTTTCGCGTTTCCGCCAGTAGGCGTAATGATGTGACATTTCTTCTTTGTAACTATATGAGAACCTCCTAACACTCAGACAAATCAATGTAGAATCATGTAACTTATACTACCACACAAACACGAAGTGAACAGAAGTACAACCATTTAGAGAGGAGAGAGAATAACACCAATAATAATAATCATTAAAATTAACTAATCTCTTGGGTTCCTAGTGGAACATAGGGCTTCAGTAGCACACCTCCATTTCACTCTGTTCTCTGCAGTCTTAAGAAACGGGCTCCACGAATGCTCACAACCTTTCATTTCTTCCTCACATGATCTCTTCCATGTCACCCTCACCACGGACACCCAACTCATCGTTTCCCCTTTGAATCCCACTCGACGACCTGGCCTGCCGCGTGATGTCTTCCAATGGTTTTCTCAATGTATGCGCAAACCAATCCATCTCGACTTTCTTCTGCACCACATTTGTTAAGTGATAGCTTTCTGCTTCGTTGGCAGCCAACCAGAGTTCCTCCTTGCTTATTCTTCCTCGCCTTCTCATCTGATCTTCAGTATCGAGTGTAGGTGGTAGCTGTTGTTGATGAATGTCTGTAGTTTGTTGTAAATGCTTCTCGTGACACAATAAGTCTCTCAACCATCACATAAAACAACCAACTTGACTGAATTAGTGTTGAGAATCCGGATCTTGCAATTTGTGCTGAGTGCAGTAGATCTCCACACCGATTTCAGATTAGTGAAAGCCTGTCTTGCTGTCTTTCCGATCCTGACTGCTGTGATATCCTCATCTGTGCCTGTGCCACCACCTGTAGTCGAAACAATGCTCCCTGCCTAGATGGGTGTAGGTGAAAGAGACTACTTCCTTTAGGTTTCTCCCGTTGACGCTGATTGGTGCTTGTTTTTGATGCTGTTGCTCGTTGCGTATCTTCACCACCTCCACCTACGTCTTCTCTACATTCACTTGAAGTCGCGTTCTCGCTGCCTCTTCTATCAACACCAATAAAGTTGTCAATTATTCGAAAATAACTCAGATTGAACAC